CTTCAAGTGGGATCTGGCCACGCAGAGTAACAAAGCGATCCCTGGCCTACCTACCACGTAGAAGATGTCAAAACATCCTTTGTTGTGCCCAGAGAGCATGGGACCCTTTGGGGGTAGCCATCCATCCACTCAGTTTCAAGCCACCATTGTCTTCAGCCTAGCCGGAGAGTTTGGGATTTGTCAGAATTCTCAGTTTTCTTCCCTCTGACTGGCTTAGGTTTCACTCTGAGACTCTGAATATTGAGACTTCCGCTAAAATCATCTCACTTGCAAATTTGCTAAGTGAGCCACTGGCAAAAATGGAGACAGGGTCTGAGCCTGGCTGCCAGGGTCGCAGAGGTCGCGAGAGGAATGAGTGTCCTCGAAGGGTCGGTGGATGGGTAGGTGGAGAATGGTTGGTCGATCTGGCATGGCTATGGGGAGGTGGTGGTAGGATATGTAGACATCTCAATCCTATATAGGCAGAGACCAACTCTGGCTTTTCTCTCCTCATCTGTAAGAGAGACACTTTACCTAACATCTGAGTCTTGATTTCCTTCTGGGTTAAAGGTATCCTATCCACAAGGCTGTTCCAGCAGAAAGCTAACATTTGCCCCTTTTATTCTCCTGATTGTTAAACAGGCCGCACGCAGCTCTTTAAGTTGCCACGAAGAGCCTCATCACCACAGCTGACCGACACTCTGTAAATAAAGGGACTACGCAGATGGCGCATACCTGTCTGCTCTCCCTACAATCAGGGACCCTGGGACAGCACAGCGTGATATTTTCTGGTGAGCACTCCTACTTGCAATGTTTCTTTCTACCTCTCTTATGAATCCCTGGATGGGTAATCTTTGGATAATCTTCCTAAACTGGGCTCACGGGTGTCTGTAGTTTTCCCATATCTAAAAACAAATCAGAGTCAAGATGACTGCCTCCATTGTCCTTCCGGTGCAGCTCAGTTTAGAAGAGGCCACGGTCCAGCGGCTCAGAGGACCTAAAATTGTGGTGTCAACTGGTCTTCATTTATTGATGGCAACGGTTCTGAAATTTAAGCCATGCACCAGAATCAGGCGGACCTGTTAAAACATAGATTGGTGTACGTTTTCCTACGCCTTGCGGTTCTGAGCGTCTGAGGTGACGTGAGCATTCTGCCTCGCTAACAAACACCCAGGTGATGCTGATGTTGTTCATCCAGGGTTTACATCGAGAGCCGCTGGGGCAGCAAATGGAACTGCAGGTCAGGCATCAAAGATCACCTCACTTTGTTCAGGCCACAGAGCCACCACCACCATCTTTGCAGAGAAAACAGGAGTTGAGGGTTTTGTTTTACCTCCGCATTTTGTTTTTATTGTGTTTTTGGTAGTGCTGGGGATCGAACCCAGGGCTTCACATATGCAAAGCAAGAGTACCACACTTCCAGGCTATCTTTGTCCTTTGTGGCCTCAGTATCATCTTCCTCTATTGTTTGCTTGTTTGTTTTGTTGTCTGCCTGAAAGATAATGCAATTTTTTTTTTTTGGCGCTGTTATTGCTTCTCTTACTCCTTCTACAAGCTGAAGCCCGTTTTGGCTTTGGTAGTCTTGACTTTATTCTTCTAGAGTTCCTTTGCTGTTTCCTGGTCATGTGCACTAGAAGTAAGCAGAAGCTGATGAAGAGCAATGGAAGGGTCCAGAATGTGTCCCTTATGAGGTGGCCTTGGGCAAATGGGTTACTCTATGAGGCTCAGTTTTTCCATCTTTAAAATGGGGATAATGGGACTAAGTCTAGTCTTGTGATTACATGGGACAAGGCTCAGCATGGCGTCTGGCCCCTAAGCATAGCCATGATAGCATTGTGCCCCACATCTATTTTTTCCGTTTTTCATTTCGGTTCTGCCACAGCACATTCCGAATGTGTGATGGAACGGTTGACGTCTACGCATGTTTGCTTCTCTTCGGAAGGCTGTCTCACGTGCAAAGAAACAGCCAGGTGAGTCAGGGAAGACAAACCCATCTGGTCCAGGGATAAGAAGGTTGTAAGAAGATAGTATCCCACTAGATGCTATGTGTGTTGTGACTCTGAAGTATTTGGACAGGTCACCTTGTCCTGACTGTTGGGAAAGCTGCCTCAGGCCCTGGATAACTGCAGTGTGAACACAGAATCTCTACGCCAGGACGATACTCCCAGGCCCACTGATCTTCTCCGGCCCCTGCAGATCTGGACATAAAGAGGCACAAGTCCCCACTTGCACCTGATACACTGGGAGGCAGATGGCGCGGTTCTATTCTTGGTTGTGCGGCTTACTGACTGGGTCACCTTGTATGGATCACCGGATGTTCCTGAGCGTTAATAAGCGAGGATACTGGCATGCCTCAAAAGTCGACTCTCCTTGGAGATCCTCACCAGCGGCGCGAGAGTGCCGGATTCTCCAGGTCCTCACAGACGTGTGTTGTCTTCTGGCCACTTTATTAATTTGTTTGATGACAGCTATGCTTCTAGGTGAGAAGTGGTACCCCGCTGTGGTTTTATGCTCTCTGCAGTCATCTGCAATCCTGAATGGCTTGTCATATGCTAATTATCCATTTGCGTGTCTTCTGTGGAGAAGTGTCTATTCAAATCCTTCTCCCATTTTCTGAATTGGGTTGTTTGTGCTTCTGCTGTTAACGCTGTAGGAGTTCTTTACAGGTCCTGGATGTTGATCCCTCACCACACTTACTACCTCCAAATATTTCTGCCTATTCTATAGGTTTTCTTTTTCACTTCCCCAATTGATCATCATTTATACACAGTCGGTCCCCTGCCTTCTTCTCCAGCATCCCTTGGACATTTCTCTCAGGATTTCACTCTGCACCCCTTGCAAATATGTTCCTTCAGTTTTCAGTGAACCCCAGGTAAGGCCAGAGATGAAGGCAAGTCCTTTCTCAGGGACACAGGCTGCCCACTTTCTCACCCCAAGGCATATCTTCTTTTCCCTCCTCTCCTGGCTCAGAGCTGGAGGTGGGGCAGCCCACCTGTTGCTCCTGCAGTATCCCCTCTTGGACAGCTGGCAGAGAGAGCTGCCTCCTTCCCTGGGATCAACAGCCTGTTTGTTGAAAGGGCTCATTACTGCTGCTTAATGCTATTTTGACAGATGAAAGTGAGTCAATTAGAGCTAAAAATAGCTCTGGCTGCAGAGGTTTCTTCCAGGTGGCTGCCTGGCCCATCCAAAGGACTTTTGCTCTTGTTGCAAAAGTTGTCTGCCCCAGGTTATCTCCCTGAACCTCCAAATAACTCAGGAGGGGCCTCCTTCCAGGAATAAAAGGCCTTCAAGGCTTGGGGCCTAAGCCCCGGAGAGCGAGGTTACTCTGACAGGCCCACTCTGACAGAACTCAGTGAAAAGATGCTGAAGAGGTTCCCTGGGGCCTCTGTGTCCCTGTGGAACAGATGTGGAACAGGGGTCACTCTGTCCTTCCACCCTCGAATGTGGTTACCCTTGTGGTTTGTTTCTTGAGATCTGTCTTGGGACCGGGATATTCCCTGTGATCACACATAACAAAATACATCCAATTTTGGTCATAGCCATGAATGTCTTAGGGTCATCTTTTTTTCACAAGCATGCGTTCTATGAAGGGGATTCAGATGGCTTTCCAGTTATTATGTTGAGATACCACCGAGGAGCATTGCCATGTGCCTCAGTTGGCCAGAAATCAGTTCTGGGGAGCTTCCACTGTCTTTGGAGTAGGGCTGTGATTGGCCCGTTGGTTGGGTGGACAGTTGGATAGTCAGTAGGTGATACATATTCCTGACAGACATATCAAATCTATATCTCGGCAAGTACCCAATTCTTTAAAACCTACTCCCTCCCGCCTCACCACCTAGGCTTCCGTAGATTCTCTCATATGCTAGAATATAGTACCGCCATCCACCCATGTGCTTAAGCTCTGACCCCAAAATGATGTGACCAGAGATGCACTCAATATCATCTGTCCCCAGTGCTCTGTCCCCAGCCACCATTAGACTGCACCTTTGCCCAGAACTGTCCAGACAAACTATTCCTGAGTTTCCAACTAACAGCAATTAGGAAAAACATGGGTACTGTTTTTTTCAGGATTCTAAGACTTGGGGGTGACTTCTGACCCTGTCATAGATAACTGGAACCAAGGGAGTGAGGGCTTACCATCCAGCTCTGCTGCCTGCTGTGACCCAAGGTGTGACCCCAGGAAGTCTCCTGGCCCAGAGCCCTGGGGAGTGGGCCTGTGCCTGGCCTCACAGTTGGGAAGAAATAAGCTGGAAGTTAGGAATTACCAGTCTGGGCTGCTGAAAAGCCCAACTGGTTCAATGTGGATTTAATCAATTTTTTTTTTTTTTTTTTTTTTTTTTTTACTGTTTTGAGACAGGGTCTCATGCAGCCCAAGCAGGGCTTAAACTCACTTTGTTGCTGAGAATGACCTTGAACTTCTGATCCTCCTGCCTCCCTCCAGAGCTTTCAGTCACCATGCCCTGGTTGGGCAGTGCTGGTGCCCTGGTTGGGCAGTGCTGGGGACTGGACCCAGAGCTTAGTACAAGAATCAAGGATGGTGGTGACAACAGTGTTTACAATGACAGTGCATCTGTGTTAGTTGCTGTCCAGATGTTATTTCATTTAGTCTTTACACTCCGGCAATGTTACCCTTCCCACTCCCGATTACTGATGAGGAAATTAAAGTCTACAGTGCTTCGGGTGACATGTTGAAGTCAAAGCCATTTGCTCCTGGTGGAAACCACCTACCTGAGATGCCGGGTATGTGACAATACCTGTCACCATCTTCCTCTCCAAGTCCATTGCATCTGTTCACATCGGGCCTCAAAACAACCTCCAATTACTTTCTTAAGAGCACAGGGAGTAGGGAGCTCACCCAGATGAACCCCATCTGCCAACCGCCCTCATTGCTGATAGAGCTTCCAGAAAGGCCAGGAAGCTCGCTAAGAGCATCCAACTAACGGTGTGGAGATGGAAGCGCATCTGAGAGGCAGCCCTGTTTACCACTCACACCCAACCCTCCGCAACGATGTCGCACTCACCCTCGGACCGCATGCAGCAGGCGCAGGGAAGGGTAGGCCGTGCGGACGTTGACGTGATGCTTCAGGATGAGAGCGTTGACCCACTCCACACGTTCTTTGCCACCCCGGGCCATAAAGGCAGGGATCCACAGGATGCTGCCGTTGAGGCCATGCAGCCGCTGCAGCAGCTTCTCCCGCCACGTGGCATTCACCAGGTCCTCAAAGGCCCGCTGGATGACTGAGGGGTTCATAGTCACTAGGTCTGTCTTGAGGCCCACGTCCCGGGCATACTCCTGAACTGGAGCCAGGTTGCACCTGAGGGGTAAAAGGCAACCTGGTCATTTGGGATGGTCCTTCTGACATGAACTCTACCCTGTCCTCTGCCTCTTCTTCTTTCTTTCTTTCTCCTCATGGATGCATCATGGGTACTTGACTGGTCCCAAGCGTTTCCCATCTCTTTCTTCCTGTCTCAATGTTTACCAAACTCCTGTCATATCCTTAAACACAAAACACCACTGGAGGTCAGTGTCTAAAAGAGGAAGCACAGTGCTGGCCCTCAGCCCCACAACGAGGTCGCTCTTAGTAGGTGTGTCCTGGCCCATTAGGTGACACCTTAGAGTGGAGACTCAGAAGACAGATTTCCAGGTTCAATACTCGGATCTGACACTCTCTACCTGTGTGGTGACTTTCTCAGCCTCTCTGCGCTTCCCGCGAGGCTTCCATGACTTTGGCTGGTGGCAGAGACCACAAGAACAGTGGGTACTCAGGATGCTCCTGGACCATAACGAGAACATAGCCCATGGTAAGTGCTGTCATGTTTCTATTGGGGGTAGGGGACTATCAGGCGTCAGAGCAGGGAGGGAAATCTAAAGGGCGGATGAGCAAAAGAGCAGTGGTGGATAGCGACGGAAGAAGAGCTCGTCTCCAGTTTGTAAAGTCAGAAGACTCCCACAGAGACTTGTTAAAAATAGGATTCCCCAGGTCCTGATTCAGCAAGCCGCAGAGCTTAGGAATTTATATGTATATATGTATATGCATGTGCATACATATACTTTCTAAAAATCTCTTCCTCTTTGGGTTCTAAGCAACGTTAAAAAAACCCACGATGCTATGAAATCTGAGGCGCAGGAAATTTGCCCGAGGGCAGGGAATGTGAAGCAGTATGGGTGTTCAGAGGAGGGACGTGAATTGGTCTGACTAGCATGGATTCCATCGGTGAGACAGGGAACAAGAGGGAAGCCAGATGAGACATCAGAGGCTGGATATGCAAGGACTTGTCTCCGAAGGCGGTAGGAAGCCATCCCAAGGGTGCTGAGGGAAAGAGCAAATGGGCCGATCTGTATCCTGCTATCTCTTGCTGAACCAGTCAGCCTGCCTATTCCCCGAAGGACCGCCTTGGGTCCCTTCCTTGTGTCATCCTCTCAGGCCTAGCTGTCCCGGCCATCTCTGTTCCCAGAAGCTGGCGTGCAACCAGCATCTGCTCAATGTAGGCTCCCGGACTTGCTTCCCCATCCTTCCCCTTGTGGTCTGCTCTTCCTTGTGGGAGGTGGTGCACACTGCAAGTTCACTCTGTTCCACGTGTCTTGAGACCTACTAGGGCTTCTGGGGTCCTGTTCCCCCGTAGTTTTCTGAGAAAGAGGCCACGTCCTGTGTGTCCCTCACATGGAGTGGGGCAGACTTCCTCACTGCTGGCTGCACCCTGGAGGAGAGCTGACCCCGGGAGGAGGCTTTGCCCCGTGTCCTCCATTTTAACAGCCATGCTCCTATTCTTCACCTCTCTGGCTTCCAATCAGACAAGTTCCACACATTTTCCTTTCTTTTCTTTCCCAGACCCTCTCTTTAGACTGGAGGGTTTGGAAATGTAGGGATAAGAGCTATTGGCTCTGCTAGCCACAGAGAGACCTGGTCAGGGGGAACAAAAAGGAAGTAACTGGTACCCAGGCTATTGTAGCACCTCCAGTCTCCGGGGATGCAGGAGTGATTATACTCATTTCTTCCCATGTCCTCAGGTTCAGGGAACTCGCTGGTCACGATGCTCCCAAAACCCCAGAATGAGAGATTCTCTTTGCACAAGGGCAGTCCTAACAGAAATACGAGATGCGGCACACATTTCTGCCAGGGCTTAGAGCACTTTGGGATGAAACTTGAGGCACCATGTGTCCTCCTTTTGTCTAGAAGACAGCGATACCTTGTTTCTGAGTTTGTATGGCTCGAGGGTTAGGTGTCAGGTCTATGGGTAATTGTCACAATGTACCCAGTGATGGCAAAACAAGAGCCGATGTCACAGAGAAAATGACTGTTGAGTTTCTTTATCACGCTTCATTTCCTAGGTTTTGACTACACGATACTGAAGTTACAGGTAGAACACACCTTCCAGAATACTGGGAAGACCTTTATGGCCCCGGCACAGGAACTACCCATCCAGATTTTCTTAATCCCCTTTGTGCCAGGCTCTGTCTAGTGTTCAGAGAACAAGCCCTTTCTGTAAGGGCCAGACAACAAATATATTCAGCTTTGCAGGCTATGTGCTCTGTATTGCTTTAGCCAAAACATCCCAGCTTTGCCCAGAAAGCTAAAAGGATGAGGGTAGGCCTGAGTGTGTTATAATAAAGTTTTATTTACAAAGCATACAGAGGGCCATAGTCTGCCCACCTCTGAACTCTTCTTTCTGATTCCCAACCTTATAATCCAGAATCACCTGGACTCTCTGGGTCATACAATGCTCCTGTCCTGTCCCTGTAGTGACTTAATAGATTAGATGTGCATTCTGATTGGAAATAAGGATCCCTGTGATGAATCTTCATTGTCAATCTGATTGAATTTAGGATCGCCTGGGAGACACACCTTTGGATATGACCTTGAGGAACTTTTCAGAGAGGTTTGACTGAAGAAGTAAAAGCCCCACCCCGAATGTTGTTGTTCATCCTAAGGGCCGGGTCTTCAGGCTGAATAAGAAGGGGAGAAAGGAGCTGAGCACGGACATTTATCTCTGTTTCTTAACTGCAGATGTGACCTTACCCGATGCCTCATGCTCTTGCTGTCATGCCTTCTTCATCATGATGGGCCCTCAGACCACATGTGCAAACAAGCCCTTGCTCCTTTAGGCTGCTTTTGTCAGATATTAGGGTGCAATGATGAGACAGATCACTAATGCCCCCCCAAAGCAAGTATGACAAGCAGTGAAAGTTGAGAACAGGAGGCACCGGACAAATATGTCTTGTTTCAGTCACCTGGCTAGGGCACAGACCTTGCCGCAGATGGCTGGTTACCTTATGACGAAGCTGTGTGTGTCAATCTCCTGCCCACAGCCGCTGTTCAGCAACACCCCCGAGTTGCCCACGATGGCACAAGTCTGAAAATGCTTATTCTTCAGGGGTGAGGTTCTGGGAAGGAGTTCGTAGAGGTTCTGGGAAACGTTCATTGTGCTGTCTCGATCAAAGATATAATGGATGATGTCTCCGGGCTTCAGGGTCCCCTTAAGGACGGAAATATCCTTCTCCGCATCCAAGAACTTTAAAATCTGCTTCCTGTGGAAACCAAATGGAAAAAAAGTCTCCATGCTGCTAGATGCGCTTAACAGGCTCAGATGTTCTACTCCTTGTCACCCTGCAAGGGTGCTACCACCCAGCAACCAGGTGAGCACACCCAGAGGCTCCGATGCCTTCAAGGATGCTCTCTGGCTTTGCACAAGGCCCTAGATGAAAGGGCGCTGCACCAACGCCAGGAAATCTTCAGTAGTGGGCAAACCCAGCCCTTTGGCTTAACCTGCATCAAAAATGCCTGTCTTAGGGGAACTTTTCATCAAACAGGGAGTCAGAGTGATGTGTGCCCTGATTCCCCATTGGCCTCTGCTTTTTCCTAGAAGGCTTCTACAGGTGACCATGGTGGTGGTGGTGGTTGGGGAGGGGTAGCAGAGGTGGCAGATATGTAGATGGGCTGCCATGATGGGGAATCACTACTTCCACCTTGTAAGATTCTGTGAGTGTAGCCTCCTGGCCTGCGCCCTGGCCCGTTTTGTGGACTGCCTTTTATTTCCCTAGTGTTGTCTGGTGGGGGTTGTGAATCATGACATCTCCTTGGTCTGTTCAGAACAGCATGATCAAAATACGTCACATCATTTTCTAGGTTCTGGGGTAAGTTAGATCCAGAGGGAAAGTTCTAGAAGAGCACAGGGAAAGGCTGGAAGACACTGGAGTAGGTGTCTTCATGAAATCACAAAAATTGAGCCAAACACAGCCTGTCTCTAGGAGTCTGAGCACCAGTGTGAGGTCTACTTATAGAAACCTAAGGATTGGAGCAAGGATGACACCCATAGGCTTGCTAACATGGAGGGGAGGGAGAACTCTCACAGGACCCACGACACTAGACAAGGAACTACAAACAACCAAGCAATACCCAAAGAAGGATAGTCTCCCCAGCTGGTTATCCAATGCCAAGTGGTCAGCTTTGAAGTCATACACACATAAAAGCAACATACAGACCGAGCAGGTTGTGTTTATATATTTTGGACTATAAACATTCATATATAGATATATGTATGCACGGACACACCCGTATGTAACAATGCTATGAGTTTGAAATGGCAGCAGACACATGAGGGAGGCTGGAGGGAGAAAAGGGAAGGGGAAAACGATGCAATTATATTTTAATTAAATTTTAAAAAGAACTGCTTAAGGAGCTAGAGAGACAGCGAGTCGGCAAAGTGCTTGTCATGCAAGCTTGAGGGCTTAAGTCTCATCTCAGGAACCCACATTTTCAAAAGCCAGGCACAGTGTCAGGTGCCTGTCATCCCAGGCTGCGGAGGTGAAGATGCACAGATCCCTGGGGCTCCATTGCGAGCCAGTCTAGCCTCCTCAGCAGGTTCTGGGCTAATGGGAGACTGTCTCCAAGACCAATGTGGACAGCTTGTGAGGAACAATGCCAGAGGGTGACCTCTGCCTTCTGCATGCTCATGCCTACATGCACACATGCACCCACAGATGACAGACATGCACATAAAACGCCTAAGCCATTTTAAGACATGGTGGTGATTGCAGTCAAACAGAGAAAGGAGCTGGGTGCTCGGGTCAGCTGGTCTAGTTGTATCTCCTGCAGCAGGTCCCCATTTCCCCTTTGAGAACCGAGCCAGGGAAGCCTGTCTTCCATCCACAAGTGTTCATGTGGCTTGCAAATGTGTGCACATCTTCTTGGATGTGCGCTTGGTCACACTGAGCCCTGAGCCTGCAGAGCACCCTGAGGCAAGTCCTAGGAGAGTCGCAAGTCTATATACTTGAAAAGGAGGAAGAATCTGGAAGCTGTAGCTGACACTGTGGAAACCTGATTCTGTGGGGATCTGGGTCAGATGATTAATATACATCTAGGTCTGGGGTGTTCTGAGACAGGGTGCAGCCAGCACCCCTTGGGGATGGCACGTTCCATCTTCTAGCCACTGCCCATTAGTGAGTGGAGTCTCCAGTTACTGCGCAGGGAGAAGCCACCTTGGCTGAGGACTTCTTACGTCTTAGCAGGAAACAAAAGCGACGTATTTACTCCACTTCACGAAAGACTATACAACTTGACACACTAATATACTTTGTAAATTGCTAATATCCCTTGCAATTACTTACCCCAAAGTATTTAAAAGCAAAGAGAGCCCCCAGAAAGCTCATAAATAAATACCTCTGTGAGGGAATTAATTTCTAACTAATTATGAGAAATTACAATCAATTATTAAATATCATTCCAAATCACTCACAGAATCTTTTATTGTGAATAATTTTGGGAGCTAATTGAGTAGAGGGAGATTCCTTTTCCCTCTGGGTGGAGGCATATTGTTCCTTCTACAGTGGCTGCTGTCTACAGGCTCCTCACAGAAGCAATGGTCTCCTCTTCTACACAGAGTGTGTGTGTGTGTACACGCATGTGCGCGAGTGTGTGTGTGTGTGCATGTGTGCATCCACAACTGTGTGTGTGAGTATGTGTGTGTATACACATTTGTGCACACATATGCGTGAGTGTGCATGTGTGTGCACACACCGATATGAGTGTGCATGTGTGCATACATGTGTGTGCATGTGTGTGTGTCTCTCTATTCCTCACTGTCTTTTCAGCGTTCCTACAGGAAAGGTCCAGAAGGAGCTGACGTGGGTGGGTGCTGGCAGTAGGATTTTACCTCAGGTGCCATAATGAGGAACATGAAATATGGTGGCCAACCCAAAATATATGGCCAACTCTGAATCCCTGGAACCTGTGAATGTGATTTTACTCAGAAACAGCATCCTGGCAGATACGATTAAGGATCTTGAGATGAGATCATCTTGGATTCCCTGTGGGCTCTAAATCCAGTGACAGTGTCCGGTGAGAGATGGAGGATGAAGTTACACCCACTCAGATGAGGAGGCGGAATAGATAGATATGGAGGTGATACAGCCATGGGGACATCCAGGGCCCCCAGAAGTCAGCAGAAGCAGCAAGGAGGGCTCTCCTGGAGCTGCTGGGACAGCACTCAGAACTGCGGCTTCTAGAACCATCTAGGGGAGAATAACTGCTTGGTTTTAGCCTTAGGTTGGTGGGGGTTGCTGCTCTGTTAGCTCCATGGTACCCAGGGGAAAGGACGTGACTGTCAGGACAGTTCAACAGGGATGGGTGACCCCAAAAGAGGTGCTGAGAAAGACAGCCTGGTGGCAGCTCCTCCAGGGGGCCTCTCAGTTGTCGGGCTCCCAGATGGCAACACTTTTTAGTCCCACACCCTTTTTCTCTCCCCATGAAGCTCTAGAACTATGGGGTAGAGTCACTGAAGGGGGCAACTCCCTGCTTTGTGTGATAGTGTATGTATGTGGTCCTTCACCTTTCTTGCATAACTATCTGAGAGTATCCTTAGCTCTAGAACAACCAAATCTGGGCTGGGACGACAAACTGATAGCCTGGGGAATCAAACCTTTCCTTACCTGGTCCTGGCTGCCTCATTCCCATCCCCCATTCCCTGTCTTCTGTTCAGTGCTCTTTCAGCCCTGGTCACAAATCACATATTCAGAATGTGTGCATGCAGGATGTGCATGGCGCACCTGATAAACTCCCACTTACCCTCCAAAACATATTGTTATAGGCTAGCCTTACCCAGTAGCCTTCTTGGATCCCTTAGAAAATGAATGGCTCCCTTCAGTATAATCTCCTTAGCTTTTACCTATTTGCAAGATGTAGTACTGTCTGGTGTGAACATCCTACCATGTTGTCCTGTCTCTGCTTATTTTTGTATTTTCCTGCCTATCTTGCCTAGTTATGGGCCATAGGTCAGTGCTTGGAAATGAACATCAGATGGGTCAGTCATGACTGCATCTGAACCAAAGTCCCAAGCACCAAAGTTATCATTTTCTCCATGTCCATCACCTGAGGATGACTGTTGTCTGAGGATGCCAAGGCCAGGACAAAAACTTCTCTCTGACTTAGACAGATCAGTCTCTTGGAGGTCGACCAGATGTCAGACCAATTCTGTGTCCCTCAGCGATAGCTCTGCGTTTTCATGTGGGTGGAGGTAGGGAGACAGTCATTCATTCTTTAAGGGCCGTGGGAGGTGGCAGACAAGGTGAAGGACTGTCACAGATTGGGGACATAAGTACCAGGTAAAGGCAAACAAGAAACAACTCTTTATGCCAGAGAAAGATACCCGTGGCCTGCATTGCCCAGAAGCAGAGCTCCTGACTTAAACTGATGACCCTAGGGGGCTGGTCACACACGCCACCTCCTCTTGCCCACATGGCTGCATATCCACATGGGCCAGGTGGCTGGGCTTGTCCCAGATTTTGATTTTTAATTGTCATTTAATAGGTGGAACCTGCTTCCTCAGGAGGAAAACATTCATTTCTATCCTGACTTCTTTGGATAACAGAGAGTTGCAGTTTGGTGACTCATGGTACAGAAAGCCAGGCCTGCCCCCGCCCTCCCCTTGTCCTGTAGGTAATGACCCATACCTGATCCTCAGAGAGAGCGTCTGGTTGTGTCTCCATTTGGATGAAGCCGGCTGGATGCCGTGTTTAATGCTCTCATTACTTCTGTCAACAACAGCTGGCAGTGAAGACCCATTTATTACGACCTCAGCTCTGGAAAGGGGGGAAAAAAAACCACGAAGGTAGACATGATCTGTGAGCCTGCCCATGACAAGTCTAATAGCTTTGTTTTCGCACGGGCTTGAATGTAAACTTCACAAGAGCGAAATTGCAGTTATTACCTGAGAAGGGAAGTCTATTTATCTTCGAGAATGCACGAACTCGCTCCCTCAGGAATAGCCTGCAGACATTGGTTCTTAGAAGCAGGAAGTGGGGGGGCCCTACAACTGCTCTTCCCTCCTCCCATCTCTGACCTTCCAGGGGGAACCGGCAGTCTCTGCCAGGACAGTGCAGGTTCCCTTCTCAGTACAGAGAGGAGCGTCCACAAGAGCAAGGTGCCAGCTGTTAGATAATGGCGGGCAAACATAAAGAGATAGCTAAACCCCACGCAGGACAATGTCCTTAGAGCCTGTGGCTCCACCCTCCTTCCCTCATTCCTCTCATTTTCTTCTTTGGAAAACCTTTTCAAATACATTTGTGTTTGTATGTGTGTTGTGTGTGAGTGCACATGTGCGCGTGTACATGTGTGTGTGTACACGTGTGCATGTGTGTCCATGTGTGTGGGGGGGGGTCAGAGAACAACTGGCAAGAGTTCATTCTCTTTTTCTGTTATGTGGGTTCTGGGAGTTAAGCTCAGCCTTTGTGGAGTGTCCCTTTGATTACTGTGCCCATCTCATCGTGCCTCCCTTTCATTGCTCATAGAAAAAAATACCCATCTATGACTGGATTATTAGTCTTCTATCTGCCTGTCTTACCAGGCTTCCAGTGTGGGATTTTTCTCCTATGTCTCCATTTCATAACGGTTTAACATAGCAGGTGTCCTATAAGTAACCATCTGTTGAATTTGATATTGAACTTGGTCCTGAGAAGCCTGGTGTGGAGGAAGGAGCTGGCTGGTTTAGTATTCCTGAGGCAGATCCGTAGGCTGGGTCTAAACCATCTTCCTGTCCAACTCAGGGACAGCAGGCACGGGAGGGCTTTTGAACGCAGATACTTGAAATCTATGCTAGTAGGTTTCTAAGAAACCAGGCTCCACTGATGGCTTTGAAGGCAGTCTAGGAGCCAGCCTGCCTCCTGCCAACGCACACAGATATATGTGGGTCACGTCCCAAGTTCCTTTTGTCTAGCCGGCAGCACATTCTCTTGGCTAGAATGATAAGTGGGTTTGTAAGGCTGGATTCTAGAGCTTTTGAGAGTTCAAACCAGACACCTCTGTCCTCTACATTTATCTTGGAACAGCCAAGTTCAGAAAGACCAAATCCTGTTAGTGAAGCCTGAACTCAATACTCTGTTTTGCTTTACGCAGGCAGAGAAGAAATTCTTTTCTGGGGGCCTGTCCTGCATGGCACCTTCGCTGCATCTGCCCATCTCCATCCCTCCGTATCCTTTACTCCTCTGGCTCTCAGCACTTGTCTTATAGCTTTGCAGGGGATAGACCAGGCAACTATCTATCAGAGGGGGCTTAAGGAATCTTATGGAAGAGAACAGAAAGTCCAAACTTTGGAATTGTTATGGTTTCATGAAAGGAAGGGGAAGGTATTTCACAAACTGGGCATCTGTGGGCAAATCGCCTAACCTCTCCAAGCCACAGTCTAAGTATTTACAGAAAGAAGGGAGCTAAGAGGAATGTACCAGGCTCTGAGGTTCTAGAGTTCTTAGAGGATGGCCATGTTTCCTACCACCTCTCAGGGGTCCAGGGAGGCTGGTGTGGCTGCATCCTCTCTGGTACTCTTCCCTCTCTCTGGCTTTCTCTCTTTCTCTGTGTGTAGCATGTCAGGTTTCTTTCTCAATTATTCTCCTTCTTCTTCTTCTTCTTCTTCTTCTTCTTCTTCTTCTTCTTCTTCTTCTTCTTATTATTATTATTATTATTATTATTATTATTATTATGGGTTTTTAAGACAAGGTAGCTTTGGAACCTGTCCTGGAACTTGCTCTGTAGACCAGGCTGACTTCAAACTCACAGAGATCCACCTGTCTCTGCCTCCTGAGTGCTTAGAATTAAAAGCATGTGACATTACTATCTGGCCCATCTTATTTTTTGAGATGGTGTCTCTCACTGAACTTGGAGTTCCCAGTTGGTTTGGACTGTCTAGCCAGCTGCTCCAGAGGCCTACCTGTCTGCCTTCCAAGTGCTAAGATTACAGGTGCACACCTTTGCACCTGGCTTTAATTTTGGTTTTGTTTAATATAGGTTCTTCAGATTAAATGCATCTCCCCAGACTTGCTCAGCAAACACTCTCCCCACTGAGCTATCTTTCCAGCCCTGGTACTTACTGCCTCCTTATGTGTATCTAGAGGCAAGAGCAGTAAACTCAGGACCATGAGTACAGCGGTCACATCCTAAGGCCTCCAATATTTACGGCAACTTCCATTAGTAGGGAAATAGTTTAATGTTTGAGATGGGACATGGTCTTCTTAAGAGCATCATGGCTGCCATCTTGTAGTTTTAGGTGGATTTGGTACCTGGTGATGATGCTCCCTAAAAACTGGACATTTTGCATGGCGTCAGGCATGCTCAGGAAGAAAGCATCTGCAGAGCTCTGGACTCATGGAAGCTTATAATGGGGACCTGCTCGGAAATCTCTAGGTGGGGTCTCCAGGCTTCTCCTGGGCACAAGGTGGTAAAAGAAGGATCCAGGTACTGATAATGGTAACATGTCATTCTGATCCTGGTTCCTCGCTGTCAGGGGAATCTTGCATAGACATCCTTGGTGCTGAACTTCAACCCTGGCTCTGTGACTATCTGGCTAGAGAGCATGAAAAGGTCGCCTCAGGCTCCTGGCCTTCGCTTTCATGTCTATACAATAAATGGGGCAGCTTAGCTATCCTCAGGGACGGCCACTGTTTACAGCTATCAGATATTCTGCACTATCCAAACCCAGCTGGACTACTGAGGGAGATTTATTCTCTTCTGTGAATGTGCCCGCCAGGTCCCAGGATCCTTCTTTCATCTCCCAAACGCTACAGGGACATTTTTGGATTGAGTTGCTTCACTTTCAACTCTTGAACTTTGCCCTCAGTCACCAATCTTCGAGGCTATCAGTGCATCCAATGACAGCGGCAAACATCTACTGAATGTCTTAGTCATCTCCGAAGATCGGCTATGTAGAGCCTTAGCATCAGTAGTTCAAAGCTGCTGATTTATCAGTGTTTGAAAGGTGAATGTGTTTGCCCGAAGCCCTACCTAGAGAACCCAGGGTTTGAATCCAGGGCTGCCTGGTTTCTGCCTAGTTCTCAGACTCAATCTGACAGTGCCTCTTCAAGTTACCATGGAGACCTGGGTCTTGGGGACAGGGTCGCCTTTCTCCAAAAGGGGGGGCATCTTTCCATAGTAGAACAGAGAGAAGTGTAGGACATGTGACTTTCTTTATTTCTGCCGTATTTGCATATTAGCCAAAAGATTCACTTTGTTTGAAGTGCCATAGGGTTGAGGCCACTGGCACTGTAGAGGCCGTGAGGGCAAGGATAGAGGAAACAGTTTCTCACGCCAGTTACACAAGGTCAAGATCAGACATACTTTATAGGTTGGGTACGGTCAAAAAAGGACCTAAAAAAGACCATGGAAGAGTAAATAATGAAACTGAGTGTGGCGGCCTCTGGCTGTTGTGAACCTCTCAATCCCAACAGCAGCAAAACAGGACGTGGAGGAAGTACCACAAGAACTTCAGTTTGAACAGTAGCCTCTGTTCATGGCAAGCATCTTGGCTCCTTATATGTGGGTTTTGAGACAGAGGTCCGAGCGACCGTGCACTCATCCTTTTGTGGAGAACGGAGAAAGGGAAGCGAGAAGTATCTGCAGCACGCCTTGCAGAGTGTTTGCAAGGTTCCCTGCACCAGTCTCCCCACCAGTTGGGGACCGTCCCAAAGACTTCCAGTCCCACAGTGTTAAGAGGAGTGTGCTTCCAGAATTGAGACTGCAATCCCACAATTAGAATTAACATCACTTAGTTGACTTCCTACGTATTTTTAAGATGTCTCAGCAAAGTTCTTAAATGCTTTATCCCCATCTCAACCTTCCAGACAAGTCATCAACTACAGTGAAATTGGATTAAAGTCCTGGCTTGCTTCCGGGGCTCCACTGCTCAGCAAAAATGCGGGTTCTAAGGAAGCTGGTGGGAGTTCAAGCTCGACGAAGTGGGTGGGCTCTTTGCCAGAAGGTAACTCTTGCCCACCTGTGTTTTCCATCTCTGTAGCCTCTCTAGCCCCATGGACCGTTTCATGTGATCTCCCACTGACAGCTCCCCTCGAAAGTGATTAAGGAAATGCAAAACCAAAGTGAAATGAAACAGATCTATTTGCTAAGTAAGAAGAGCACCACCCAGCAAAGAGGAGAGGCAGATTAATAGCTGCCTTACAGCAAAAACAAATGAACACAAAATCTAATTTACAAACCTATTAGATTTGCTATGTAAGCTGTTCACAGCTGATCTGATTGTACCTCTGCCTCCAGAATTCCTGCAAGACAAAGGAAATGCATTATTTATCAGCGCTTCTCTTCCTTGCAAAGCCCTCTTCAATCACCAGGAGACCCCAGAGCTCACCTGGGGGACCACAGAAAGATGACAACATCTGACTCTGGACTTTTCATAATGGGCTATGTCTTGTTCTCTGCCATAGCCCAGGAATCTGATGGGATATTTGGGTCTCTCAGAGCCTCCCATCTCCCAGATGAATGCGACCAACTGAGACACCCATTTGAGACTGGTAAGAGACTGCTTTGGAGCCGGCTCCCTTGGCTAATCCGTGTGATGACATGATTCAGCACAACATGGCATTGGCACCAGCTAACCCAGCAGCACCCACTCTCTCTCGTCATCCCTTGCTTTCACTCATGGGTCGTGAGATGTTTTTCCTCACACTCACCAGAAACAGAAGCCACTGGAAATTCAACAGAGGCAGCAGCACTAACTCGGCAGTGCCTCTAACCCAACGCGGCAGTGGTCTATTTTTTCGTGGCAGGATGCACACTGTTATTAGTGTTACTGTGTGGCATGGATGGGACAGGAGACAGGTGGGCAATGAAGGGGGTCCTTTGTCCTGGGGAACAGGCTCTTGAAAAGCTCAAGACTTTAGGTAAAACCTGAGTGCGTGCTCTTGGCGCCCCACTATGTGCCCGTGCCGTAGAAAAGTCATACGCAAGGCTAACTATTTTTCTTTATTAAAAATTTTCCCCCGATTTATAGGCGATGTGAACAAGAAGGTATTTTGAATTTTACTTGTGTGTTAAAGTTCTATTGAACCCTTCAAAGAAGGGGTTAGTATACAGCAAAGAAACAATGAACATCCCTGGGGAAGCTGTGTATTGGGGCAAACTGTCATTAAATGAGAAGTCTTTGGGAAGAAGTTATAGCAAAGCAGCACACTGGATTTATACAGATATCATCATATGTGCATCTGCATGAATATACATACATATATATGCATATATATATATTTCTGATCTGTTGAAATGCAGTTTCAACATTCCTGACTAATAGTCATTAGTCTTCTGTTTCATAGTCAGACAATCGGAGGTGGCATGAGGGTCTCTAGGATGTCGCCACCATTGAGTTTTACCCCTCCAAGCCTAGTTCTTCATGACACAGAGTAACATCACACTTAACTCTCATTTATTGTCTAATATTTAATTCATTTGGTTTTATAGTCTTTCCATTCTCTTCAGACGGCAGAGCTCTTGACCTCCCGACTGGGATTCTGAACACCTCATGGGCCCCAGTTCTGAACCACAGTCTTAGGGTTGACCCTAAGGGCTTCCTTCGATGTGGTGTCCCCAGTATCACTCTCTCAGACCCTAGCCATCAAAGCAGCTGTCCTCGAGGGACGGACGAGCTGCTGGGCTGGGTAGTAAGTCAAACATGATATTTAAAGTGCAGTAATAGTTCAAGACTAGCAAAAGGTTAATGAAACTGAAGAGATTGTCTAACAATACCGCGTGCATAAGAACTGATACATGATTTTTTTTTTAAAGCATTTTCAAAGGGAAATTAAGTAAATGGTTTGGAATAATTGACTAACAGTCTTGGAAGAAATAACGAGCACCTTCCTGTGGACAGCAAAACAAACTTTAAATGGGTTTAGTTGGTTATCCTGCCGCTGAGACAAAACATTGGCCCAAACCAACAAAGGTGGGAAAAAAGATTTATTTCTTCTTACAGCCCCCAGGTAACTGAAGCAGAGGCCATGGAGGGACTCTGCCTACTGGCTTGCTCAGCCTGCTTTCTTATGTAACCCAGGACCACCTACCAGTCCAGGGGCAGCATTGTGCACAATGAGTTGGGCCCTCCGTTCCATCATTAATCAAGAAATGTGCCACAAGCTTGCCCACAGGTCAGTCTGATGGACTCTTCTCAATCGACGTCCCTTCTTCCTGGGGACTCCGGTTCGTATTAAGTTGGCAAAGCACCAACCAGCATGCAAATGTTCCCCAAACCAGTAATTCTTATATCTCTATAACCAATTTCCTTTGTCATCGAGGGTACCATTTATTTAAATTTTAAAATGGGTTCATCTTTGAAAATGCACCTTTGTCCTAAACAAGACCACCCAAGAACCAGAGGTATGATGTTGGAGCCATGCGCTTATTCACAAAACCCACAGAACCATTGCTAGGAAAGTATTTATCCGAAGAACTCCTCAAATCATCTCACATCACCATGGGGAATAGTGGGGATACTTGCATCTCCCTCTGGGAACGACCAGACAAAAGAGGAAAATGCTTAGAAGGAAAGGCAAACATGAATTTGGAAGGACACGTGGCAGGTGGGGTCCACCAGGAGTCGAGCAGGGAGCAGAGAACATATTGTACCCACATATGAAAGGACCGACAAAAGAAAGGCGAGAAATGGGTTAAAAAATGGCGGTGTATTTATGAAGTGTTTGATGAGCGCCCAGGAGTATGTGTGATAATAGAGATAGATAAGATGAGATAATAGATTCCAGAGAATGCTCTGCCTTCATCAGAATCTAAAAACGCTGATTACTTAAAAGGCAAACCCAGCTCACGGGGGCTTCCATCAAACTTACAAGGGCTCCGGGTGAGGTGAAGGCTGCATCTGATTTAACTTTTAAAAATTATTCATTCAACAAAAATATTTGAATAACATCATAGCTGGGTTGCTTGCAAAGCTGAACACATACAGTTCCCACCCTCACGAAGTACAGGGATACCGCAAGGATTCTTCGTTTTACATACACACACACACACACAGAGAGAGAGAGAGAGAGAGAGAGAGAGAGAGAGAGAGAGAGAGAGAGAGAG